TTTTTTTTACATACAATGAATATGAGCTAATTTATATGTTTATGAGAAACGCTTTTAGTATTTTATTTTTATTAGCATTTTGAAGAAATAATTGTAAAAGTTATAAATCAGGAGGAATTAAAAAGACTTACAAGATCAACGATAATCTGTTGCTAAACTACATCATATATGCAATGAATCTTTATGAATATATCGTCTGTAGAAGTAAATACACTGTACGAAATGTGTACGAGACATTTAATACTATATCTTGGAATAAAATATAGAATGTTTTGTGAATAAAGTATCCATCCGTAAGTTGAGTAATACGTCATTGCGTGGTTAAGAAATGCAGTCTGAAATGTGGAAAATCTAAATTTTATTTCCGGCCTGAGATCATCTTCGCTCGATGTTGATATATAATTCCATTTCCTGGATTTTGTAGCTAAAGTTAAATAAAATCTCTCATACTTGATGTACAATTTATATTTATTTTAATTTATCGATGAGGCAAATAGCAAGTTCCACTTTCAAAAATTTCGTTTGATTAATTGAACATGTATTTTTGTTTCTTTATGCCTAACTCCATATGGAGTATGAAGATTGACATGACACAAAACACACACACAAACACACATTTGTTATGTTAATTTTATACTATAGATGGAGTTAGGCATAAACATTTTCTCATGTATAAAAATAAAAACAATTGGTTATATTAAGGGAGAGAATATCTTGGGTTTTGTAGGCTGTTGAAACTCTTTGTATCTATATAATAATTGTGTATCTTCAAAAAAGTTAATTTTTGGAAGGTGGGTCTTACCCCACCAATAAATTGAAACAAACATAACTTATCATCAGGCCGATGAACTCGGATTCTCCATTTTTTGATTTTTTCTTAACCACAGTTTTTTGTGATGCTGATATGGATTGGTGATACAATATTTGCTTATTTAGATCTGTTTTTATCCAACTCTAAATTTTTCAAAGTGCGGTATACTCTGCTCAGGCTACCAATAAATTGTAATAAATCTAAGTTATAACGTAGAATTGGCGAACATAGGGCGAAGATGACGAGACTGGTAATGGGACTCGAATTCTCTATCTTCTAGACAGACTAAATTATTGTTTTTGATTACTTTTTATGAAGAAGAATGTTTTTATCATTTAATAGTCACAATATATTTGTAATGTATAAAAAAGTTAAAAGTAAAATCCTCCAAGTACGAAATCTGTATGAATTATTTTATTTTTTATTTTAGATATTTATATGACGCGCTTCTTATCTAATAGTCCACGTGTTTGAACGTTCGCACTTGCTCGGAGGATTAAATCGGTGCGTTACATTTCTAGAAACTTTCGATTGCATTCTACAATCAGATATCTTACTTATTTCCTCCGTGTGTGTGGAAGAGGAAAGGAGATAGAGAGAAGGGGAACGCTATTTAAATAATTTCTGCCAACGACACGCTCGATCGAGTTCCGCGAAAAATAGAACGCGAAATAAATCTGGAATTTAAGTGCATTTTCGGAATTAATGCCTCTTGATTTTCATTCCCGTCCAACATATTAGGCCGGAATTCGCTTATCGAGACGGGCATCGGTTTCCAATCTCGTGCACCTCGAAACGTAAAAACCCGCGCGCGACGCGTTAATGAAAAGAGAATTCAGCGCGATCGGAGAATGATCGGGACGCGTTCAGCCTTTAAACGCGCACGGCGTTTAAATGTCGGGCCTTGGTCTTGCCGCAATGGACCAATCGCCTCCCCCCCTCCCCCTCCGCGTTCGATCCACATTAAAATATATATGTCGCAGAAAGTGAGAGTCGCGAGAACGGAAACCTGTTTCGGAACGGTCGGACTGCCCCGCGCGATAATAGTTAGACCGGCAAATATCTCGCGATCGTGCGCCTCGTGCGTGCTTTTTCGAACCGCTTAGAACAGTGCCTCCCGATTTAACTTGGTCGCCGAGGCCTCCGTCGAGAGGCGGCCTCCGTCAATAGAAATTCTGCATATCGCACATATCTTTGTCTATAAAGATGTAAAGAAAGATAGACCCGAGATAGGATAACGAAGAGAGGAAATGAGATTTTTTTTTATCGAATCTTCGTATCTATTTTCTTTATATTTTTTTACGTATTCCTTTGTGTCTCTGGGGGGATAGAAACCACTTCGGGCGATCCACGTTGAAGCCACTGGACGAGGGTATTCGTGTTCTAGGCCGTCGTTTGCGGCTCTGTCGTCGTGGTTCGCTCCTTGGGAGACCAACCTGCTACTCTCTCAGTAGCTCGTCGACGTTCGAAATCGCGACTTCAGGCATCGATCACGATCACGTTGCATCGCTTACAAAGTTATACTTTTACATCGAGTCCGGGCCACAAAGCGGGGGTCACGTGTTCCAATTCGCGCATGGACCGCGGACGTTTGACTTCGTCGAAGGACGAAGAATGAGGAATCTAATCGTTAATCCTTTATAACTGTTTTAATTATTTGTTGAGAAAGGCGAGGCGCGCTCGGACCCCGGACGCTGATCTTCGCGCGGAGTATATCTGTGAGGCATTGAAATGCACGGAATTTTTCGTTTGCGCGATACCACCTGGTTACTCACATTGCTGATGCAATTGAGAGCGCAGTTTAATTAGACCGCGCGACAACGGGAGCGGAACGGGTTGGATTGTTAAACCGGAGAAGACCGAGAGGTCGCGTACCGCGCGATGAAGATTGACGAGAGTGAAAACGTTGCTCTTAGTGAGTCGATACTTTCGCTGTCTTCCTCATATGCAAATTAGATGTAGTTTGCGATACAAATGTGACACCGCAATGGTGTCTGAATCTTTTATAATATTTCTTAATCTTTTTAGGGATGAATGAATTATAATTCGATCGTTCAGGTTTTAGACAATTATGATTTTGCCAAAAATTATGGGCAGTCAGAGAACTGACTCTTTTTTTTTTTTTTTTTAAGTCGTGATTAAAATTCAGAAAAAGTTTCTTTAGAAAGAAGCGATCAATAATCGATCAAAATATAGCTTATTATATGAAGAAAAAAAATTAAGAAAAAAAAAACATGTTTTGAATATGTTAATAATGAGAAAAAGGACCATAAAAATGGATAATTTTACTTTATATGATTTCGCAACTGTATTTTTCTCTTTAAGTGAGGATAGTCTACTGAGATTTACGATAATAAATCCGAACTGTAATTCATTCGATTTATTTTAATCGTTCACACTTTGCTTTGCGTGCAAAGTTTGTTAGTTGCGCATTCTCGTTGCTCGTAGACACCTAAAAGCGCGTATTTGTCTGCCACGATTGTGGTGTTATCGACTCGTTTTATCTACGACTCGACTGAATCATTAAATTTTGCACTCGTGCTTTACGAGTGCATTTTTTTTTTAACTTTTATCGCCGAACAAGAATTACGAATGCGAGTATTGCGTATTGTTCTGTAACTTCCGGTTAGCGTTCGGCAGTATTCCGCTGACATTCAGATCACGCCGAGTCGTAGATAGAATTACGCGACGTTATTGCACCTCGTGACACATATTATCGCATCCTAGCAAACGTAATTTCCAACGGAGACATTTAAAGTCGGTCGATAAATCGCGCGGTCGTGCCACGCGGACTATAAATATATTTTATAATCTTCGTTTAATCCTCGAACAGCGAAAGCCTTATTTTATCTTTATGTTTTACTTTAATTAAAGACAGTCTTTTAAGAAGTAAACGCAATTAAAGAAATTATTGAAAGAAGAGAATAAAAGTAGATTCGCACAAAAAAATCACAAAACAACCATCATTTCCGAGGTTCGTTATTTGAGCATGACTAATTAGTAAGCTCTCAAATAGTTTGTTTCGTCGAAAACAAGGGTTTCATCTTACGCTCGTCCTACTGGGAGAGAATGCTCCCAAATCGCATTTGAGTCGTTGTTTATTATTTCGAACGCCCACATCGTACGGGGCAATTTGCCATAATTATCCGGCTTCGGCGTTCCTTGGCATAAAGACAAAATTAAGTGTAAATATTAATCGTAAAAATAAAACCAACTACAAGTAAAGATTCAGTGTAAAACGACTGTGTAAAAATTGAGTGTAAAAATAGTGTAAAAAAAAAAAACAACTTCGATTCGAGTAAAAATCGCGAAAGCTGTTGACGTTTCGTTTAGATCTTTGGACCTGTACACCGAACTTACTTCAAGTAGTCTCAAACGTGACGCGCAGAACTGCTAAAGAGAATCTAAAGTGATGACGCATAATTACATAGGTAGTATAATTACAGAACTCAAATGTAATAAAAATGCAATTCTTTCAGATAAAAAATAAATCACGAACGCGATATACAATGTACGATAAGAAAGTGCGAGAGAAAAAAAATAAAAACCAGGTCCAATTATAATTTTTGACGGATACCATATTCAATTGTGTTAAAAGCGCATTGTGTAACATTAACATACAATACGAGCTCACCTCATTATTCCCGGCGATATGGTTTACAATGTTGTAACTTATAACGTATATTGCTTTCTTAATTACCGGTGTATCAATTTAATTCTTACTCTAATGACCCTGCCTCGATCACGAGTGTATTGTGGCTCCCCGAACCCATCTCTTTTGATATTTATTGCAAAATCAAATATTTCGTCCACAGCGGTAATAATCGCAATAAGACCTACGGAGAAATTTCGTCAAAGGGGAGAAAGATATAATTAATTGGGCATACAGCGAGTCAAAGTGAATGGAGTAGATAAATTTTTGTATCGAAATTTTTCGTTCGGCCGCTTGCATTTACTCCGCCTCCCCACCTCCGACCCGACGTCGGATGTCGCAGATAAAAATATTCGTGAAACCACGCGCGTCTGCGTGTGTGCGGTAAAGATAATCGAGGTCACGCGGTTTGGAACACAGGTTACGAAGGAGCTGATAAAGATATAATTATTCGGAGACCGCTTTCGAGGGGGGGAAAAAAAAGGAGATGTTCGACACGCTATCCTGAATTATTAGACCCGAATCCTAGGCGAGTTTTGTTATATGCAAAATTCTTCACTGCTACCGGGTAGCGTCCGGTTCGCTAAAATAACTTCCGTGTATCCTTTTCATTGTTTAAATGTTGGAATAAAGATTCATTATTTATAGCCCTTTATCTATAGCCCTCGAAAAAATATATTTTTTCGTTGCAATTTTTATGATATTAATTTATATTAGTAGAAACGTATTACGTACAATTTTATATAACTGTTGTTTTTTTTTTATATTTAGGTAAAAACGCTTCTTTTTATTCGCAGAAAATGGTGTTGAAAGCAGTGCCCAGCCCACAATTGTCAGAGCTCCCAGAGATAGGAGGAAATTCAATCAAAACGTACGTGATATATTTTTTGTTTTTATCTTCTCTCTTATTCATTTAGTGCGCGTGTACTTATCTAAGTCGTCTAAGAAGATAAGCAATTTTATAGCATGCACGATTATGCCGTAAGCTTAAAAGATAATTTTTTATTTTTACGATACTTTGAGAGATATATGCCATTTATAATGTAACATAAACAACTAAACGCAATTGTTTTCGAAGAAATCCACTAGAATGATAAAAATAGACATTTAGCACTTTAATTAAGATGTCAATTGAATCTTTAAAAGAAAGGTTTTTACCAAGTAGTCAATGATAAAATATATTTTATCGCATATTTTTTTATTTAACAAAATGTACGTGGTATAATTTTTTATTATATTTCAATGCTTTAAGAGATTAATTCAGAAAAAGGAAAAACAAATATTTATATAAATATAAGTTGTTTGAAAGACTTGATATTTTTCGAGTTATAATAAAATTTAAAAAAATTGAAATACTTAAAATACTTATTTTCTTTAATGCACACGCTGCAAACATTTTGAAACATCTCAAACATTTTCTTTAACATATAAATTTTTTTATATTGCGACAGGCAAGCGATTTTACGAATATTGGAGACTGGCCTACTTTAGGAACACAAGAGGTGCGTATTATTATTTAATTTTTGTTTAATAAACTGCTATTTTCAACTTTAAGTTATTATTTTAATGCACGTGCGTTTAAAAGTGTGCATATGTTAATAAGTTTATTAATTGGAATTATACTTTTGGATTTCATTCATTTTAATTGCCATAAACAATATTTTTTATTACGTAGTGAACTATGCAAAATCTAGAGCTCGCAGATGATTTACGTGCATCTGCAAGTGTAGAAATTTTGCTAGAGAAATATCGAATATTTTGTCATCTCAGATAAAAATTTCTATGTCTGAGAAGCGTTCGTTATTTGTACACATGCCTATACCTAGGCCATCTTTTATTTCTCTTTTATGTTTTACTGCTTTTCATTTTTTATGTTTATACGGTTTAGACGATATTATCTTCTCTTTTAATACAGAGGAAAGCAACTGTGTCTCCTCCAAAACAAAATGGTGTGCTCAATGGTGAACCAAGTACTTCCAAGGCGTCCAACACTATCGAGAGCAAAGGCAAGGAGAACAAGGAGCAGCAAATTCACTATCAAGACGATAGCGACGAGCATATGGATAACGGCGAAAAGAAAAAGAAAGGTGAGGAAGTCGGTCTGTGCATTTGGAATTCATTATGATAAGATAATTGCGTACAGTTAATGTAACAAATGTCTCGTAATAACTTAACTTTCAAACGGCTTGCTTCCATTTGAAATGTAAATGAGAGGTGTTATTTTTCAATCTCCATTCCGATTACCGTTTGTTACAGCGAACAAACAAAAATGGGTCCCGCTTGAGATTGACCTGGCGCAGAACCGTGGGACTATGCGATCACCGAGATTTCAAAATCATAGGGAAAGAAATGGCGAAGGTAATATTTGTATGCATAATGATAATATGTTTGTATATGTTGAAATCGCAATTGCTCATATCGCGATAATAGAGACAAACGAATATAAATGATAATTATGATTCTCTCGTGATAAACAGCGAACGACGGCGAGCACTGGCGTGAAAGGGACTACGATAGATCGACGGGATATAATTCACGAGGACGCGGCGGGAGAAATTACAGAGGTAGAGGAGGACGGGGCGGGCGCGGACGCGGTGGTTTTAGACACCGATACGATCAGGAGTTTACGAATTACGCTACGGATGTACAGGTAATTTTCTATAGATATACGCAGCTTAAATTATTATCGCGAGTTGCAATTTGGTGAAATGATGATCAAGCTGGGTTATCTGACCATATTGTGATGGATAACAGGATAACAGGATAGTAGAACTGAAAACCTTTAAAGTTTATTCATTTGTACTTTCCACTTCTTCGCGATAGATGTGGCGTAACGTTTCCTTTCTTTTCTTTTTTGCAGACCCAAAAATACGAATCTACGGATTCTGGATATATGATACCTTATATGGGAACATGCTATTTTAATAATGCAAATTACGTAGATCCTATCACATTAAAAGAATATATACGAAAGCAAATGTAAGTTTAACCTTTATATTTTTTATACCGATATAATTTGTATATTGTATTTTACATGAACTCTTCATTTTTTTGTTTACAGAGAGTATTACTTTTCTGAAGAAAATCTTGTGAAGGACTTCTTCCTACGTCGTAAAATGAATGCTCAAGGATATTTACCTCTCACTCTGATCGCATCTTTTCAACGTGTACAACATTTAACGATGGATATAGAACTGGTGATAGGTGCAGTTTCAGAATCTGATAAACTGGAGCTGTTACAAGAAGAAGATGGATATAAGGTAAAAAACATATTTTAAATAAATAAAATAGCGCGTGGCGCGCGTTGTCTGACAAAATCGATTGTACGTGTAGCACATATTTTCAAAAAAATCTAGCATGTTACATATGTGCTAGATAAAAAAATTTGTGCTAGAACAAATAGAAGAGGATTCGCTGACACCATTAGAGCTTATTTTAAGTTCAATGAATGGGGTTTGATAGTAGACCTCTTTACATATATAATTATTACATTATAATTGTTCAAACTTTTGTGTATACGTTCTTTACGTACGTGTAATATATAATATCGAATTTTTTTAATAGTATATATTTTTATTTTTCAGATTAGAACAAGTTTCGAGCCGTCAAAATGGCCTATCTCGGATATAGCCAGTAATATTGCCTTTTCAAATCCCTTACTACAGCTTGTCCCATTTCAAAACGAAGTAATTCCTACCTCTGAAACTACATTTTGTCCTGTCGCGAAGCCTTTACCTACAATGCCTGCTCCCCCAGTACCTCGTGTGTTTGAATCTTACAATTCCATTTCAACAGTAAGAAGACATAGCGAATCAGAAATAAATCCTTCGTCGATAAACGAGATTCTAAATCCTAATGTGCCAGAGTTTATACCGACAACAGAAAGAACTAATGAATTTACTGCTACAAATAAAAATAATCAAACGAACAAGATCCGCGATAAAATAAAGGAAACATTGGCAATGGCAGAAATGATGAATCTTCTTCCTAATAATAATCCTACGAAGACAAAGGAAAATTATAAATCACTGGCTACTATAGATTTTACTATAGAAAATTTATCAGAACGACTGAATGGAGAATCGGATTCATCAAGCGACAATACTTGGAAAGAGGTAACTGCCGTTTTATTTTTCGTTGTATTAAACTACAGGAATTTGCGAAGATGAAAGTAATTTGCGATTCATGGAAACGAACTATTTACAGGTGAAAAGAAGAGTCAAACACAAGAACAGATTAGAAGAGAAAGAGAAATCTGAAATCGTCAAAAATGCAGTACGAGAAGAACTGGATTTTCAATTTGATGAAGAACTCGACTCGCCGCCACCGACTGGTCGACTTAATGCTTTTTCAGAATGGTCAGTTGATATTGAGTAAATATTAAAATGTTTCAGAGTACTTATTGTTCAAGTAATATGATTCAATTTAGGTCTTTATAAAAAATTTCTATTTGTTGCGGTAAACTTAAAGTCTTTAATTTGTTCAATTTTAAAGTTTATAAGAACGTAACTCTGAAATTTTAAATTTTTTTTCTATAGCATGTTGAGAAAATAGCGATTACTTAGAATATTATTTTGTCTTTTAACACTTAGTAGCAGATTACTGATATTTCGATTACATATGATTGTTACAGGACCGATGATGATGACGATAACGAATTGTCAGATAAGGATATTAATAAAATATTAATATTCACACAAATCAGCCCCGCGTCATCTAGAATCCCGAAGCACGAAGGTTATGATAGAACGGGAGATTGGACTACAAGAGTAAAAATGACTCAAGAGTTAGTACAGGCTATCAACGACCAATTACATTATTTCGAGGAAGAATTACGGAGACAAAATTTTCAAAGAGTAAGATTTATAACTTTACTTTCTTAAAATTATTGTTAGAAACAAGTAGACTAAGAATATTAATGAGTTAAATGTTAACACACAGTACGGCTCTTCTTCGTCCATTGGGAGCTACAAAACGGTCAATGTGGTCAGTCAGGAAGATTTCGAGAAAATGGCACCAAAAGCTCCAAGAAAAGCGAATCCGGAAGTTCCACCGCCGCCTCCTTCCGCTATAGAAGATTTTGAAATTTTGCAGTCGGCTTCGTCATTACAGGTATTTCAGGTAACTTTTGTGAGATAAAAAATTGCTCGTAGAAAAATATCACGTTTGAAGCTATGTATTTCGTTCAATAGCTTCCAAGTGCAAGTCCAGATAAGAAGGATCACAGACCGGAAAAGAATCGCTGGAGCGATAAACTGTGTGCCAGAGAAGGGCGAAGAAATGCTGCGCCTCGCTTCTTCGCCGTTGTGAAAGATGGACCTTCTGTTGATGAGAGGACGCCACGGAAAAGGAAGACCCGTCACAGCAATAATCCTCCAGTGGAGCATCATATCGGCTGGATTATGGACGTTCGAGAACATCGTCCCCGAACATATTCCACAGGGTATGTGATATTAGTTTGCTATAAATTTTGCAGCTCAGACCAAAATATACTTTCGATTCCTCGATATAAAGAAGGATTTTGTTACTAACGTGTAGAAATGTTAAAAAGCGTAAAAATTAAAGTTATACGGAAGGAAACAATTGCTAGCTTCTATGGAAATACACATAGCTTGTAAATTAAAAGTAATATGACATTATGATCTCGTAATTATATTTTTTTTGCTATTGGTTTTTATTAATTTATATTAGATATTACTAATGATCTTCTACTTAATAAGAAATACGACGTGATGAATCCATTTATATATTGTCTTCTTTTCCCGACTGAAGAAATTACTTTGTAGAATGGTTTTAATCTGAATAACGATCAATGGAAAAATGAAAATTTACGTTCGCTTTGCGTATATGCTCTAAATTTGTTTTCTATCTTGTTTCAGGAGTAGCGCAGGCACAAGTCCTAACGAGGGTTACCTTGCTAGCAGTTACGGAAGTGTTCCCAGTATCTGCGAGCATCCGAGTCACGCTTTGTTGAAAGACAATGGATTTACTCAACAAGCATATCACAAATATCATTCGCGCTGCTTGAAAGGTATCAGCAATATAACGATATTTTCTTAAACCATTGATTTAAACGGTTATAAGATGATGATATTCTTTTTTTTGTCTTCTTTTCCCGACTGAGAGAAATATCTGTGCGGAGAAATGCTTTTAACTGACTATTACTTAAACAAATTGTATGATTATATTGAATCAAGAGTTTTACTTATGTATCCGTATTCGTGTCTTTTCAGAGCGCAAACGATTGGGTATCGGACAATCGCAAGAGATGAACACTCTTTTCCGTTTCTGGTCGTTTTTCTTGCGCGAAAATTTCAATCGTACTATGTACGAGGAATTTAGAACTGTAGCCAAAGAAGATGCCTGCGAAGGATACCGATACGGATTAGAGTGCCTTTTCAGATTTTATAGTTATGGCTTGGAGAAGAAATTTAGACATACGTTATATACAGATTTTCAAATGGAAACAATACAAGATTACGAAAACGGTAAAAATTAAGATTTTATTCTATGCCCTTCTATTTGTCACGAAGTAAATAAATCAGCACAAAATAGGTTGTTTAGCTATGTTATCGTACGATAGTTAAACGGTAGATTTGTGCAATAGCAAATCAAGTGTTTTACTAACGTCAAAAAGATATTCTTATCCTAAGACTAGATTTTGGTTAGTAATTACACGACAAATTAGAATATAATTTGACATTAAGGCTTATATACGTAGATTATATTAATATAATGTAATATCATACTAATATTAAATCAAATTGTTTGAACCAATAGGACAGTTGTACGGATTGGAGAAATTTTGGGCGTTTTTGAAATATTACAAGAACTCTGATCAGCTTCGTGTGGATCCTAAATTGCAAGAGTACCTATCAAAATTCAAAAGCATCGAAGACTTCAGGGTAGAAGTAGTGAGTATTATTGCAAAAACAGATTTGTCATTCTTAATTGTCTTTTTAATAGCATTTATAATAGAGCTGGTTTCTATAATACATAATATTTGTATTATTCTTTTACAGCCGCAAATATGTGAAATGCTCAAAGCTGCAAGAATACGTAATAGAAGTGTTTCTGAAAGTGCTAGAGAGGATACACTGACAAACAGAGAATGTCTACTCTCAGACGACTATAATACACTGCCAAACGCGCAAGAGTCGCATTTATCGCAGCTTCGAACTAGGGCTGGTTCTTTTGGTTCTAAAATGTATCATTTTCGGCGACGGAATGACTCCACGTCGTCTAGCAGCCAGCGAGATCTCAGCAAGCAGCAGTCTCGAAATCAGAGGCAGAGTTCTGGTTTCTCCACGAAGCCTTCTGAGGCGAGCAAATCGCAAGTCACTGCCAGAGAACGAACTCAAGTCAGTTCCAAGTCCGAAGCGAGCAAATCCGTCACGATTAAGACAGAGGGCTCGTCTACTTCTCAAAAATGAAGTCGTGCGACGACGAGATTTCGGATAATCTTGTAAAAGTGGCAGAAACTCTTGAATCGCCCTCAAGACGAAGTGGCGATAGTATTTTTGGTAATACATGTTATTGGGAAGCAGTTTCGTAACCGCAAGAGTGGAAATCATAACAGGTCCTATTTGTGTGATCTTAAAGATTATCGCTAGGGAGTATGCAAGTCTCTACAAGGTAAATTTATGATCTAGATTTAGAACCGTGATTTAGTGTTTAAGATCGTATCTACCGATATTTAAACCCCTCGGCATGGTGGCGCGTTGCGAAAGATATTTTCACTAGCTTCTTATATTGTTTGCGCTGTTTAAATACGTTACGAGATACAACTAAAGACAGAAAAACGATGAGAATGCGTGTGTGTGTACATGGAGCAAATAACGATGGGAATGTATATATCCTAGTTCTTTCAGTCACGCTTTTATTTCATATATCTTAACGCGTATGCAATAGCAACGACTCGAACAGATGAACAGTATCGTACGTGTGCGGAAACGTGCCGTAAGATACTGTTTGCTCAAGCGAATTTGTTTGATGTACAAAAAGATGAAATGCTCTACCTTCATTTAAAAGACAGCATAAAGACTAAATAATGTATTTAACGAATAAGCGCCTAAATATTACATTACATTTGACTACTGTATTATGTAAATTCAGAGACTAATCGTATAATTCGTAAACACTTGGTTGTGTAGATATATATCTATGTAACTGATATTGAATTTATACCGTCTTTTCTCTGATTATCGAAGTCACTTAAGCTCCAATTTTTTCGCGATTATTTGACATCTTTTATTGGAAGAGGCGCTCTTTTTGTTTTTCTTTTTTTTTATAGCAGAATTTTTCTTTTTATAGGAGACAATTACACACGTCCTTTATATCATTGAAATATACCAAGAATTTACTTAGTCTCGAAGTGGTAGCAGTTAATTGTTACATTCTGAGCTTCTATTTTAAGACTCAACGTAATCGTGGCGTACTTCCATGTAATAAACATAATATCTATATATTATATAAATATCTATATAATATATATGAACTTTGCCATATATATTTTTCATAAAATGTAGACGTATGTGTCACAGAACATTCATGTGAACATGACACAGATCTTACAGAAAAGTTAACGTTGTTACATTGATCTCCGTGAATTTTTTTTAGACTCTTCAATTCAAAGCCATCCTTTGGAATCGAGCTTTTAGAAATCACTTAACGAATTCTCAATATGCTATTCGCACTGATCAAGTTTGCATATATTTATACGTACGCTGTCTACGCAATAATTATACATAAAAAATACATTTCGATGAAATGAAAGCGTTACGAAGATCGATTTATCGTATTTATTTCACATCATGAGAGGGAGTGATGCGCTCGTCGAGTAACTTGTAAATAGAAAAAAAAAATCGATACGCACTGGTCGTTTTTATCAGTCGATCAATCAAACGAATTTTGTAAATTGTATCGATGGTTGTTCTTTATTCCTTAAGAAAATTGACGATCGGTCACGCTAGACGCTATTTGTAAAATGCATATTCGAAAGGATGATGAGACGCTTTTGTGCGAACGCAGGGGACTGTTATACCGTTCGTATCCTAATGTCGTCCTGAGCATACTAGTCACGCATCGAGCCGTTACATACTATATTACACATTGTTTACAGGATTTATACAAAAAAGAAAGAAATTAAGGTTACCGCGATAACACGGTATGAGCAATAACGCTTGAGCGAAAGTGAACGGTGGTAGCGTTGATTAGCAAGAGAATACTAGAAAGGAAAAGATGCCTTTGTGAAACGTGAAACGGCTGTAATCTTCGTCGTTTCAAGTAGCTTCGATTATGTTTTTTTTCCGTTGAATATGTTATTACGTGAAAAATCTGTATGTTTAAGTAACAGTCGTGTAACGTTACGCACGGCGGGCACACTTCTGACCGCGATACCGAATGTTTTTATTCGTTCGAGCGGCACGCGTAAAAATGCCTTTCAAAAACGTCTCAGTTGCACAATATTCAACATTAGCATTTCTCGAGACCGAGTAGAAAAATGAGGGAACAGATTTTGCGTAACGTTAATCGCAATAGGCGGACGGGATAAAACGCAAAGTCATTCGTTTCGAACGAATTGCATTTCTCCGTGTAATCTTTTGTGGATTTTTTTCCCGTCTCTCTTCGTCTTCCCATTGTTATGCCAACCGAAACTTTCTTTCGCTGTTAGGCAGGGCATAACACAAAGAAAAATTGAAATTCTACGAAGACGGAATCGGGCTTCGTATAGTATCATCGATCGAGATTACAAATTAGAGTATCGATACATCTTTATGGACGACACTTAAACGTTGATAGTAATAAAGAGTTAAACGCTACAATATCACTCGTTAATTAACTTTTGATTTTGTGAATATATAAATTACGAATATAAAACGACTAGAAAATTCAGTAGGACTGAACCGTAAGGAATAAAATGCGTATCACTCTTGAGGGAATAAACGTTTATTCTTAACTAACAAAAAAGAAAGAAGAAGAAAGAGACGCGCTCGTCGACACGTTGCTTCCGTGAGGGCACAGTGATAGCGAAAGCTGACGATGATTTTTAAAAGAGGCGACAATCGAAGGTCTCTACGTCTGTTCGAAAACAAGAGCTCGTCCGCAAAAAATGAGGATTCAACGCGCGATCGCGTTGTTCAATTTGCAAGCAAAAAAAGAATCAATTATATTATCAGCGCGATGGACTCGTGTCTCGTCTGTATTGGTATATTTCGGCTGTACAACGAAACTGCGCATGTTAATGTTTATCAAGTTACCACGAACCGAGAATGAACGCGAAGACGAGAGAAAATAAAAGCGTTTTTGAGCTCGGGGCGGGAGGGAAAGAAGGGGGGAAAGAGAGAGAAGAATGATTGTCGAACAGACGAGGGGCAGTTGTTAGCACAAATAATTTTCCTATCGATTTATCAGTCGCGATATAATAAATATGTACAGACGAGTGCCAGGCGAGAGAGTGGAGATAATAAAAGTAAATCGGAACTACGTGCTCATTGATTATTGTACATATTTTCATAGTTCGATTTTTAGCGATTTAGATGTACCTTGTAGGTTTTTAAGCCAGTGACCATAGTTCTAAGCTATATAACACCTTTATATAGCGTACGATTAAACGAGATATAAGATCTTAGTTCGATAAGTTTACAAGCTAGATGTATCGATCGGCTTACAATGTTATTCAAGGCTTGTTTCTCGTGGCGTGCTTTGGCAATCGTTAAATACGGGAGGAGAATACGGGAATACGCTCCGAAGTAAAACGTCGATGTTCGATTGGAGAAAGGGAGAAAAAAAAGGAAGCAAAGAAATCGAGAAGTACTCTCGGCGCCGATTTTTCTCACTGTAATTGCACCGTTTCTATATCTAACGTACGTTATGCTATCACGCAACGTTGTTTCCCGCCCTTTTTTTTTGCAGAAGAGAGACAGAAATGTAACATAATGTACATAGTTTTTACTTAAAATTGGTGAACAGCCACGCCACGAGATCGACCCCAAATGTAAAAAAAAGATTATTATATATACATATACATATATATGTATATATATATGTATTACATATTGCATATATATATATATATATATGTATATCATAAGTTCTTATATTGTTACTTATATATCGCTAATGAATCTTAATTTTTACATTTAAGGCGTATGATAAAAAAAAGTGGGTGGGGTTATTGGTTTTTAATTTTAACTTTAAGAAAATGTATAAAAAAAAAATATTTCATATAAAGATTATACACTACTAGATCGCAAGAGATGATTATGTTTACGTACCAGTGTGGAGATGTGGTGCGTTTTGAGGAGGGACCGTATTATAGTAATTTTTCGAATCATTGGTTCGTTTTTCACTAAACTTATCTTCCTTATCTTTATTAACGATCTTTATCACGGATTTAGATCTGTCGCTTCAATTCTGTCTTTTTCTCGTTTTTCCCTTTTTTTTTTTTGTCTTTTTCGTATCGTTACTTAGAGTCTTTCAACGATTTGAATAAACTCGCACTTAACGTTACGTTTCGCCGAACGAAAAAATAATCGATTAAGACGCCCTTTCTCGAATAACATATAGCTCTATAAATAGAATTATATATTTTATAACGTTACCATTTTTGTAATAGTGCCATTTTTTTTATATACCTTGATATATAGCTCTCGTTTTTTTTTAATTAGCGACACGTCGGCGAAAAAGAGAAAGCAAATTAAAGCGTCGACTTTGGAAGAGGCAGAATTTGTTAGCGAGATCCCTCCTTGAACGAGCACAGGAATGTGAGTGATTTTTACTGAGAGGCATCCTCAGCGGTGAGAAGAGACGAGCGCAAAATTACATTTACACAGAGACGAATCCGCGCGTATTGTCCTCGATCAATCGTCAATCGCGATCCGATCTCAAGAGATAACGTTACTTATGTTACGCAATGTGTTACCCATGATATGTTAATATCTATCGCCAATGTGTCATTTCTCACTTTATCGCGGTGTCCGTTTCGTACGAGGTACAGGGAAATCCTGCTTGTGGTACCGTTCACCTCATTAACTTTTTTTTTCTACCTTACGTTGTGTGCAGTCATTAATTTTATTGTAATTGAATCGCGAGATCGGCGTTGCGTTTGTGCGAAATTATTCTATACAAAGTCTAGTCGCTTTAGCCGATTGCTCTAGCCCCGGTATCTCTCTCGTTGGGAATTTAAACGAGACCCCCGAGGCTTCGCCCGGGGACGTACCGAACTCGGAAAGGGCGTCACTTCCTTCGGGCTGCATTTTCGTTCCGCGTACAATAGTGCCTTCGAGAAGAACTTGAAACTTCCGGACTGTTATAAAAAGTCGCAGTTACTCATGCATTTCCAGATGGTGCACAATAAAGAGGAAGAAAATAGAGGAGGGGAGGAAATTTAAAAGAATAATAGCGCCGCGAATTTTAAGGTAGGATAACGTTTTAGAGGATCACTAGGGAGAACTCTCGTAGCAACCAAGGGTCGGTCCTCGGAAAGTGCGAGGCCGCCTAAAGATAAAGGATGAATCTATCAAGTCCAAGCCTTTCGTTGAAGATACGATGCCACATATTTTTTCAAATTCCGACACGGAGCCGCCTGGATCGGCAGGAGATCCTCGGGGGAAGGGGGGGGAGGCGAGAAGACAACCCCAGGTCGACCAGTCCACGTGGCTTCGCGGGACACATTAAGCGCGCATCGCGCGACGACTGTAAATAATAAAAAAAATAATAAAAAAGATACTTATATATAGATATACACGTACGCTTATACACACAAAGTAAATTACAGACGAACGCCGGCTTAGGGATTCGGGAAGAGAGTGAAGAGATTATAAATCGTACGCAAAGGGCCCCCTCCTCTCGGAGGGGCCCCGAGTGATAATGTATTGTATGACGCGTGTAGGATGGCTTATGCGAGCGTGGACGACGTAGTCGACAGTTGTAACGTTTGTGAATACATAAAATAAAACGACCAAAAAAACCGAAGATTTGTGGAGTCCTTCGTACCGTACCCTGTACCTCCCATCCTCGGAGGATGATATCCTGGACAGCTTGACTGTTCACTATTTTTATTAATAATTACTTAATTTATTAATTATTATTTATAGTAAAACTGAATTTTGAAGACCACATCCTGTCTCCTCGAAGACGAACAACTGTGTATTGCCGCCTCTCTTATATCAGTCAATCAATCATCATTATTTTTCTCCCTTTAGACCGTCTCTCTTTATATCAACACATTTCACATATACATTGTATATCGTTTTTTTGTCCTTTCTTTATCCATGAAGTAAGTTTGCCTTACTTCTGTAACGTGTTAGTTTCATATTTAATTTATTTGTGGTAATGGTTGATACATTTACCGTTATTGAAGTTGATGAAATGTATAATTGCTATAATATTTTCGAACTTGCGTAATGAGGTATGCGTATTCTTTTCTACGTGTAAATTTATATTTGAGATACGTTCTGTTAGAATATTGAATGACAAGTGAAAACGAATTGGAGCATTGTAACTGAAGTAATATTTAAAATATTAAAATGACATCGAAATAAATGTTCCTAATATAAAATATAATTAATTCGGATGATAAAGTAGGCGAAACTCAGGTTTCGCACCGTGAAATCTCGGAAATTTACTCCTGATATATCAGGAAAGCATGGTGAGCGAGGAGGTTGTCCGGATTGCAGTAGGTATTCCGCGGGTGTTTTGAAATGCGAAATGCGCTGAACGACACTGGGTCATATGGTCATATCTCGAGAAATATATTCATTTTAACATTGTTATGTAATGTATCCGTTAACACAAATCATGCTCTCTCAAACGAGATTTGACAATAGAGTTTTAAAATGCTGTTGCATACGTTTTACATTTCACTTATGCGAAATTTTCTGCCGCATTTTGCGCTTGCATAAATTATTCAATAGAACATAATTAGTAACTGTATATTAAAAAATTAGATTAATAGAATACTGTAATCTAAAACAATAATTAAAAAATAGCAAGAATTTAATTATGCATCAGTAGAGACGTTAGAAGACAATAAAAGTTAATAGAAGAATTAATTCGGATGATAAAGTAGGCGAAACTCAGATTTCGCACCGCGAAATCTCGGAAATTTACTCCTGATATATCAGGAAAGCATGTTGTGCAAGGAGGTTGTCCGGTTGCAGTAGGTATTCCGAGCGCGGGTCTTGCCACCCCACATTGCCTCCTCGTAATCACGCTGCTATTGGTCAGAGCGCGGGAGCCTACTGCCCCTTCTATGCACACCTGCCAGCGCTCTGATTGGCCGTAGGCTGGGCATCCTCGTCGCGCGCCCGGCGCCCGGCGCGCCGTTTCAATGGCGATGGGTAATAGTGGGGGTAGGCGTGCCGCTGCTCGAATACCTCTACTAAAACCTCCTTGCTCAACATGCTTCCCGCGTAACAGGAGCGATTTCTGAGGAATTACAGACGACTCCAAACTCGAGATTCTCGCTTTCCTCATAACAAAAAATTCTTTTCATAATTTTTATGATCTTTCAAGCGCCAAACGAATGCGCGATATATTTCTCGTTATTACTTAATAATATTTAATATTAATATCTATTGTTTGTTAAATTAATAACGTTTTTATTAATTACTTTTTTATACATATATGTACTATATGTATGAATAACTGAAACTATTATACGAATTAATGCAGTGCTCGTGCTCGGTCGGCTCGGCGGAAAGCTTGTATAGAAGCTCCGAAATGCGTTGAACGACACTGGGTCTCTCGAGAAATATATTTATTTTAATATTGTTATGTATGCTTTAATGCGAGACTTGCTTTCTCAGATGTAATTAGACGCTAAAGAGTTTCAAAATGTTGTTGCATAATGTTAGATAACAAGAAAAAGGTAGCCGCGAATG